CATTCGCTTTATAAACCTTCTGTTAGGCACCATACAATAATGAATGGACATAATGGCAAAGAAGCTAAGTGTCCGGAGTTCTATTATTCCTGTATTACCACTACTTGTGTTATCTGACAAATGCTGGCTTTTGGGTCTATTGCTTGTACTAAAATGCTCTCATTCAAACTGTTAAGTACTGCCCCCTTTTTAACCACTCCTTTCTTTGGCTTCTATTAACTCAATACCCTCCCCGTTTTCTTCCTACTTCTCTGACCTCTCCTTATACCTCTTCTACTTGGCCATCTCTTCTACTCTTTTTCCATCTCTCCTACTCCAAATGTTGGAGTTCCTCAAGGCCCAGGTGTAGCCCTCTTGTTGACTTATTTCATAATCCCCATCCCCTCCCCAGACAATCTCATCCATATCCATCAATATTACACACAACTAAAAAAAAAAAAAAAAAAAAAAAAATTACACACAACTCCAATTTATGGCTCTAGTCCCTACATCTCTTCAGAGCTCCAGAGCTTTCTATATCATTCACCTACCGACTTGGTATCTCTTAAATGAGTCAAAGGCATATTCAAATCCGAAGTCAAGATTACTCCACAACCTGACAAACCAGGTCCTCTTCCAGGGTTTTCTGTCTTAGTGAAGGGCACTCCCCCATCCAGATGGGGGAGCCAGAAACCTAGGGGTTACCAATACCTTCATCTCCCTCACCTCCATATCCAATCCATCACCAACTGCCTCACCAATATGCTACTTATTTTCACAAACACTAATGTACCCTTGCCTAGTGTTTCTCAACAGAACATTTTGGGGCAGAACAATTCTTTGCTACGTGGACTACCTGCACATATTAGAACATTTGGCACCCCTAAGCCACCTGCTCTTCCCCATTCTAGTCATGACAACCGAAACACCTCCACACATTTTCAAGTAGCCCAGGGGAAGCAGGAATACTACTACTCTGGGTTGAGAACCACTACAATAACCTTGCAAACTGGTCACTCTAAAGTCATTCTGTTCCCCCTCACAACCATCTATTTTCCCAACTGCATAAAGGTCCTTTCAAAATGCAAATTGGGGTGCCTGGCTGGCTCAGGTAGTAGAGCGTACAACTCTTGACCTCAGGGTTGTGAGTTCCAGCCCCACACTGGGTGAAGAGATTACTTAAAAAAAATAAATAAAATTTAAAAAAATGCAAATCTAATAATGGCATGATCCTTCAATGACTTCTGTAGCAGAGACACCTCACTGTCCCCAAACATCCATTTTTTTCCTTTCTTCCTCCACGACAGAATACCTGAATATTAGCTGAGCACATAAACACCTAGGCAAAGGCCACACGTCTTACTTCCCTTGTAGGTAACTGTAGCCGTTGCCTAACGACATAAAAAAAGGGAAGAGGTATGTGCAACTCTGAGGAACGATGTGCCCTCCCAGCTGACTATAGCACTGATGTGATTGCTCAGAGCCAAAGAGCCATCTTGTGCCACAGGAGGAAGCCGCATGACAAGGATGGAAGAGCATCAAGATGGTGAAAGCCTAGGTTCCTGGTAATCAAAGACTCTATACCAGTCCTGGACTGCCTAATCTTTATGAGAGAGAAATAAACTTTTATCGTATTTAAGCCTCTGTTGTTTGGGCTTTCAGTCACTCTCAGTCTAATCTAATAAACACAGCTTCCTATTGCTCTTAGGATAAAAACAAAAAGTAAACTTTTATTTATGCCATTATTGTTGGAGTTTTCAGTGAATCTCAACCAGATATAATGCTACCCAATACAACCCATGACTGTTCTCAGGAAAAACAAAGACCCTTGACATGGCCCGAGAACCTGCTTGTTCCAGCCCAGCTTCGAACCCATACTCTGCTCCAGCCACACTGGCCCTCTTTCGTCTCTGGACCTACCATGATCCTCCCACCAGAAGTGTCACACATACTTTTCCCTCTTCTCTTCATCTGGTTAGCTCCTACCCAATCTTCAGATCTTACCTCAAGCATCACTTCCTCTGGGAGCCTTCCCTGACTTCTCCAACTAGATCACACTCCCTCTTTTTAGGTTCTCCTAGCACCAGGTACCTCTCCTTCATGAAATACTTTCTCAGTTACAATCTTACATTTGTTTGGTTACAGATGTGTATATACATTATATATATGTGCTATATATATAATATATATAAAATTCACATACTTCTCAAAAAATGATTTTGCTTCATTCTCATGTTGATTGTAGACTAGTTCCAAGTACATGTGTACAAACAGAGGATAAAAGAGTTGGGATAATTCTGCCCGATGGCAGTCCAAGGAACATTCAATGAAGTGTTTTAGTCCGCTATAGTATTCTTCATACATTGTGGGGTCTCCTTGTTGGTTGTAGGCTGACAGCACAGCACTGACATCCGGCTGGTCTTCTACGGCTACACTTCCAACTGTTTAAAAAATGAAGAACAACTTTCAAAAAATGTATTTCAAAAATATATACCAAGTGACTAAGGCTGTTTTGCTACGGTCCAGAGGTAAACTGTTTCTTAGATGTTTGTTCCTGTCCTCTCAAAGTCTCTTCCCCAAAGCAATCACACAATCTGTCAAGGGACTGTTTCAGTCCCTATCCAAAACTCCTTCAGCTAGCTTGTCCATATCTTAAAATAAAATGTTCAGATCAGTACAAAAAGGTTCAGTATTTTTCCTGCAGCTACCTCAAAGACAAATTTCATAAAACACGATATGTGCAAATCAAACAATTATATTAATCTTCTGTCAAGACTCAGTGTAAATGGCACCCACCACCACCAAGATATGCCCTGAAGTAATATTCCCAGATCTCTGAGCTACTAAGTATTTTGTGACTTTCCTGTAACACATCCTAACCTGTAGGATATATGTACATCTATCACTCCTTATAAAATGCAAGCATTTCAAGAGTGTGATGGATGAGCCTTATTTGTTTCCAAAAGATAACTCAATCTACATGCTTAAAATAATTCCTGTAAACATCATTCCAAGGTAGAAAACACGAGTATTTATTTGGAATATGCCAATACCAAACAATGATACACCTGTCAATCTAATCAAAGTTTGATTGTTGGAAAATTTTAGGTTGCAATTTTAATACTGCTGTGCTCTTCACTGCACAAATGCTTTAAGTTCTTTTGGTTATTCTGATGGCCTCTTTTCCTTCTTACTGGTTTCTGAGTTATGATAGGTCAAGTTTCTGAAGAGATGAGAGATTACAGAAAAATAACCAACATAATCCATCCATCTTATAGTTCATTCATAAAGTTCAGCATTCAGAAAACATTCCCCTCAGTCACATTTTTGCACATTTCTATCTGTGGGATACAATGCTACATATTCATACTTCACTTCTGGCAATGCTGCAAAGATTAGGGCTCATAAATAGAGATTAATTTGGCTAGAGGCTCTGCACTAGATAACTTAATTCAATAAATGTTTATCATCAGCTCAGGATCACCTCTGAGACCATATGCTGTGTATGAATTTTACTGCACGGACTTGGCAACACAGTTGCTAGGAAAAGGCTGGGGAGGGTGGTCTCGGGTGTTAAGTGTTAGGTATATACATATCAGTACCAGGCATTTTATATATATATGTGTATTATATCTGAGCCTCACAATAACCCATTTTAAAAGGGGGCCAAAAAACCCCCTTAACCTCAGGAAGAGCCGCATCACACAAGTAAAAGCAACAGAGACAAGAGTCTGAACCTAGGTCTGTCCAAAGCATACTCCTAAAGGAATGGTTCTCAAACACATTAATAATCCCTTGGAAGCATATATTCAAAAATGGAGATTCCTAGACTCCACCTCTACACGATCTGATTCACTAAGTCTGAAGTGACGCCAAGAAATCTACATTCCCCAAAAGGTTTAACACTAGTTAGCCTAATATTTTGCGAAATAGCGGCTACACTATGTTCCATCACTCCTTGGCTGTTTGGTCCAAAGCAAGTCCCTTGGCCTTTCCGAGTCCGTTTTCTCATCTCTAAAACAGAGGTAACGTCTAAGCTCACAGCGGAATTATGAGAATTAGGATATGTAAAGTATTTTTAGTAATTACTTAAAGAAGCTAGTACAGAACTGTGTAAGTATTGTTGGGTGTTAATGCAGACCTGCCAAGCCTCAAGAACCGAAAAAAGAAGAAAGGGACCAAAACCCTGAAGGTCCCCGCCTCTCAGCGCCCACCTTCCCCCAGACATCCCTCTGCTCAACAGCTCTCCTCAGCCTCTCACTGGAACTGACAGCTTGGAAAAGGGTTTGACTGCGCAGCCGGCGCACTAGCGAAAGGGGCGGGCATGTGGCCCTAGAGGCGGGCCCAGGAAATTCAAAACAAGCCCGCAGAGGTGCAGGCCTGCCAGCCTCAGCCTTCCCGGCTTGCTCCCCCTTCGTGCCCTGCCTCCCCGGGACTCCGCGGCTCACCTTTCCCCGGAGCCGCAGAACCTGTCGCTAAACCCGAGACCGCGGCGGCCCCCGAAGCGCCGGTGCCCGGAGGGTCAGGGGCCGCGGGGCCAGGGGCCGAGGCTGTGACCCGGCTGAGAAGCGCGCTAGCCGCCTCTGTACCGGCGCCGTCCGCCTCTGGGGCTCCGGTGCCCGCCACTGCCTCCTCCAGCAGCCGGGCCTCACGGCGCAGCGCCTCTTCGGCCTCGCGGAGGTTGCTCTGCCGCAGGAACTGCAGCACGGCCAGCAGAGTCTGTCGGTCGTGGGGAGCGCCGGCCTCCGGAGCAGCGGCTGGCACCGGGGCCGCCCCCGCCGGAGCAACGGCGGAGACAGCCACCGAGGGTTTGGGGGTCCCACCATCCCCGCCGGCCGACGATGACGCCGCCGCAACGTTCCCGCCGCCGCCGTTGGGGCCGTTGTTGGTAGTGCCGCCGCCACCCTCGCCAGCGCCGTCCCCCGCCTGCGGAGGTAGCAGCGTCGGCGGTCCCTCTGGCTCCAACTTGACCGCCACCTCCGTCTGCTCCTCCGCCAGCGCCGCCATCTTGCGGCTGAGCCACCTCGCGCCGTCAAGCGTGATTGCGTTTTCGCCACATGGAGGGCGGGGAGGAGCGTTTTACGACACCTTGGGAAGGCAATATACGGCAGTAGGAGGGGCGAGAAAGAAGGAGAAAAAGAATAGGAGCAAGAGCAACTTTCAAAAATGAGTGACAGAAAGGCAGGAAGTGGGAGGTGGCGACCGCCCGTAACAGTTGACTGTAATGATTGCCGTTTATTGCAGACCCGCTATTTTTAGGCACTGTGAGAGACATTTTACATTTTATGACCTCCTTACTTCAACAATCTCATAAGGCAGTATTATCCTCTCTTTACAGGTGGTTGAACTGAGACCCAAAGAGGTTGAACAACTTGCCAAAGTCTCGCAAGAAGAAAGTCAAAGTGTCAAGATTTGAATCCAGGTCTAAAACTCAAAAGCAAACCCGAGAGCCAGAAGGAGGCTTCTGAGATACTGGTAATATTTTATATTTTGATCTGGGTGGTTGTGACTTGTGTGTGTGTGTGTGTGTGTGTGTGTGTGTTGGTTTTACCTTAGTAAAAATGAACCAAGTTACACGCTTGAGTTTTGTGAACTTCACAGCATGCATGTTACAATTCAATAAAAAGTAAGTACCTACATTTTGTCATTATGAAATATGTACGTTCTGTATTCGTGCTGTGTTATCCTTTATTACAAATAAACTGCGTTTTAATTGTATATCTTTAAATAGCATGTGCCATTTTGGAATATGCTTCATAGGTTATAAAACCTTGCTGCATATTTTATTTCATTTGAATCTCAAAATTCTGGGGATGGGTGTAGACAAGAGAAGTGAGCCTGGGGAGTTGGGAAGATCTAGCATAGTTATTACTGTTGTTGGTTTTTAAGTCCCACCGGTTTCTTTCAACCCTGTTTAGTAGCTGAATGACGTGGATCAAGTTACTTAACTCCAGTTGCCCAATTTCTAAAATGGAGATAATAATAGTACCAACCTCACAGAGCTGTGTAAGGATTAAGTGAGATAATGTATGCATGATATACTTAACACCCATTAAATAGCTGTTGGTTTTTTCCTTCACCATAAAAGCTGTTCTGTAAATGTTTGATAAAGTCCAGTTATGATGTTCAAGGTGATCACAAGACTGGAATATGAAACTAATCTAACTGGATATCTAAAGTAAAATTATGGAACATGGTGGAAGTGGGGGAGAGTGGAAGATGACTAAGAATTGGTTAACATCTTTTTTAAAGATTTTATTTTTTTTAAAGCTTTTTTTTTTTTTTTTTTTTTTTGACAGAGAGATAGAGAGCACAAATAGGCAGAGCGGCAGGCAGAGAGAGAGGGAGAAGCAGGCTCTCCACTGAGCAGGGAGCCGGATGTGGGGCTCGATCCCAGAACCCTGGCATCATGACCTGATCCAAAGGCAACCGCTTAACGACTGAGCCACCCAGGCGCCCCCAAGATTTTATTTTATTTTTTTAAAATAATTTCTACACCTAATGTAGGGTCTCAAACTCACAACCCCAAGATCAAGAGTTTCTTGCTCCATCAGCTAAGCAAGCCAGGCACCTTTTTTGTTTGTTTGTTTTAAGAGGACTTGTTTAGCATTTACCCAGCTGTGATCAATAGAGAACCTGAATCTCATGTGTACACTTATGAAGTGGGGAGCATTTGTCCTTTTCCTTAGGATCATTGAACTGATTTTTCTGATTCAGTATTTACTAAATAACTTGATAATTAATTGGTAAATAATTGAGCACCTAGTTGAGAGAAGCCATGGTTAACAAGCTCAGGCACGCTTATTATTCCCTGGAAGGTTGTTTTATGCCCTTACAAATAGTAAATTAACATTCTGGTGCGTGTATTTGTCTTGAGAATCAGATCCTAGAAGCTGGATCCACCTCTACAGCTGAAGCCCAGATACTGGGACTCACAAAAGTATAGGGTCTACCTTTCCTTCTGTAGGGTCTACCTTTCACCTGCCTTTGTTTAAGTTCCAAAAAGTCTGGGCTGGTACGTCAGACAGTTACTTACTCCAGGTAGAATGATTTTCCTGTTATACCATGGTAGAGATAAGTATATTGAATAACTGCAAGGCCAACTTTTTAATTTTTGTTTCTCTTTTCCTCTTCCTTTCTTTTTTTTTAAGATTTTTTATTTATTTATTGGACAGACAGAGATTACAAGTAGGCAGAGAGCAGGCAGAGAGAGGTAAGCAGGCTCCCCCCTGAGCAGAGACCCCAATGAGGGGCTCGATCCCAGGACCCTGGGATCATGACCTGAGCCAAAGGCAGAAGCTTTAAACCACCGAGCCACCCAGGCACCCCTTCCTCTTCCTTTCTAATCCCTACTCCCATTCTCCTTCTACTCTCAGGATGTTTTAAGAAATCTAATATCAATCTGTATCTTATTCCTTTACAGGAGAGCTACTCTTTCTCTCTGGATATTTCTCTTTCTCTTCAATGTTCTTTCATTTTGCTCTAATGTATCTAGGATTAGATTTTTCTTATCTTTCCTGATTGGCCTTTTATACACCCATTCAATCTGAGATTTTTTTTTTTAATTCTGGGAATTTAGAAGCATTATATCTACAGATATTTTCTCCCTTCTATTTTTCCCTTTCTTCTTATATTCTTGGGATTTTTTAAAAAGATTTTTACTTAATTATTGAGAGACAGAGAGAGCATGAGCAGGGAGGGATGGGGAGAGGAGAAACAGACTCCCCACTGAGCAGGAAGTCCATGCGGGACTCAATCCCAGGACCCTGAACTCATGACCTGAGCCAAAGGCAGATACTTAACAGACTGAGCCACCCAGGCACACCTCTTCTTGTATTCTTATAATACAGATATTAATATTTACACTTCTATCTTCTAGGTTTGCTTTCATATTTTCATGCTTACCTCTTCCTAATACATTCTAGCAGGGTTCCTCTATCTGATTTTTCAGTGAAATCATTCATTCTCAGCCTACACCCATATTGCTACATAACCCATTTATTAAGTTACTTACTTCAACCACTATATTTTCCATAGTATTTTTTTTAAGATTTTATTTATTTAGTTGACAGAGATCACAGGTAGGCAGAGAAGCAGGCAGAGAACAAGGAGGAAGCAGGCTCCCTACTGAGCAGAGAGCCCAATGCAGGGCTCGATCCCAGGACCCTGGGATCATGACTGAGCTGAAGGCAAAGGCTTTAACCCACTGAGCCACCCAGGCGCCCCTTCCATAGTACTTTGAATTGGTTCTTCATGATTTATTATCCTGCTTCAATCCAGTTGGGAGATTTTGGTCCCCACCCCCCGGGGACATTTGGCAATATCTAAAGACACTTTTGGTGGTTACATCTCAGGGTAGTGCTTCTGGCATCTAACTGGTAGGAGCTTGGAATGCTACTAAACTTCCCACAATGCACAGGACAGCCCCGGCCCACCACAGCAAAGAACTATCTGGCCCAAAATGTCAATAGTGCCCAAATCGAGAACTCCTGATAAAACCAATATAAATTCTTTTCTTTTTGAGGATGTGTATTTATTTAAATTCTATTTCATTGGATGTATTTAATCTGTTATCTCATCCCTCCTATATCTCATTACTTTTCTCTATGAATTTGTATTTCACTGAAGGTATCAGCTCCTTGGCTAGTATGTATACCCAGAGGGAGAGGCAGAAGCCCAGCATTGGGAAAAGGTGAAGGATGTACCAAAAGGAGGAAAGTCTGTGGTGTCACTGTCTGGTCTCCATCACTCCCTATTGCCAACTCCCATACACACATGTGCACAAACACATATCCTCAAGATTTTCACAGTTTTTACAGCTCTGTCAATTTTGGTGCCTTCTCAGGTTGGGTGTAATGGGGCGCCAGCCACCAGTGTGATTTTACCATCTTGTTTGGTTCCAAAATTAAAAGTCACGTGGGGGCGGGGTGGATGAGGCTGAAAGTTCTAACCATCCCTTGGTTGGTTCCAGACCTCATCCTGAGGCTATTCAGATGTCCTCAGCCACCAATCATCTCATTAGCATACAAAAAGACAATACTTAGGAGACTCCATGGGTTTTAAGAGTCCTATGCTAGGAGAGGAAGGGGTCAGAGACCAAATGCATATTTCTCATCACATCACAGTTTCATTTTGTCCTTTCCAATCATGTGCCTCATTTCTTTTTCTTGTTGTATTGCATTAGCTAGGACTTGCAATATGGTGTTGAATATGAGTGGTGAGGGAAAGTGGACATTCTTCATTTCTTATCTTAGGGAAAAAGTACTTAGTTTTTTATAGTTAAGTGTGATGTTCACTGTGGGATTTTTATAAATGCCCTTTATCAAATTAATGAAATTTCTAGGCTGTGGTATACCTTGTATACCAAGTATCTCAATTCTTAAAACCTGTGGAATATTGATTAGGCTCAGATCATGCATATGCAGCTTGAGGATAAACCCAACTTTATGGGACCATTTTATTGATCTCCTTAATCTGCCTAACACTTCCCTTTCTGGTCCTCTAGCTAGAAAAGGGAGTGGGCTTTAGTTTTCTCTGTTGTGTACCCTGAAAATCCAACTGTTGTGGAACGAAGAAGCAAGAAGATATACAATGAAAACAGTAGCGGAGATACCCCCTTGCTCTTAACATCAGTGTTCTCCCCTCAGAGATTTAGGTGCCTACTTGGACTCCACTGCCATCCCTGTCCATTGCTACTATGGATGAGCCTATGGCCTGGTGTGGGAGAGAATGGAAGAACAAAAACAAACTTTGGATTTCCATCACACTTTATGACCTACAGAGGCCCCCTTTCCTGGTCCTCAAACCATGATAGAGGATTTCTCTTGGAGTTCTCTCTGACCACACTAGGTATACAGTTCTGGGTTTCAGCATTTTGTTTTTCCTGTGGTATCTCCGGGCCAGGAGATACCACAGGAAAAACAAAATGGGAAATGTATTGATGAGTCAATTTTAGTTTGAGTTCCGGTTGCCTTCCCCAACCTGCCTCTTACCGTTTGCATTCTAGAGTCTGTAGATAGTTATTCCATGCATTCTGTCCAGAGTTTTTACCTGTATTAAGTGGAAAATACAGAGTAAAGCACTAATTATCTTTTTTTTTTTTTTAAGATTTTATTTATTTATTTGTCAGAGTGAGCACAGGCAGACAGAGTGGCAGGCAGAGGCAGATGGAGAAGCAGGCTCCCGCTGAGCAAGGAGCCCGATGTGGGACTCGATCCCAGGACACTGGGATCATGACCTGAGCCGAAGGCAGTGGCTTAACCAACTGAGCCACCCAGGCGTCCCAAGCACTAATTATCTTGACCAGAACCCCAGTAATCTCAGCTACCTTGGTCAATATGTATTTTAGTTTATGTTTTGTCTTATCATTAGAGAGTTTGAACATCTTTTCACATTTTGGAGCTGTTTTTATATTACTGTGGGGGGATTAAGTGTTATCTTTTTCCTCTAATTTTTTAAGTTTTTTTTTTATCTATTTAGCATATTAGTTCTTTATCTGAGATATGTGTTGCAAATACTTTTTCCTAGTTTGGTCAAGTTTGGCCATGGTCTTTTGGTATTGTTTATATTTGGGGGGCCATGCAGAAGATTTTTTTTTTTTTTTTAGATTTATTTATATATTTGAGTGAGAGAGCACAAGCAGGAGGGGCAGAGGGAGAGGAAGACAAATCTGAAGCAGACTCCGTGCACAATACAGAGCCCAAGATGGAGCTCCATCTCAGGACCCTGAGATCACAACCTGAGCTGAAACCAAGAGTTGGATGCTTAACCAGCTGTGCCACTCAGGTGCCCCCAGAAGTGTTTTTTATGAAGTCAAAGTTACAAACTTTTATTTTATTGCATCTGGATTTGAAACCATAGATTTTCCTCTCATCTAAAGAGGAATTCACCCATATTTTCCTCTAGAGCTTGAATAATTTCCAGTGAGCTCTCTAATTGCTTTGGAATTGAATCTTGAATATGAGGTGAGGTATAAATCTATTTTTTTCAAAAGTGATTCAGAAATCCCACAAGTAGATAAATAAAGTCTTTAAGGAGAAAAATAAAGGGGGGGATTCCTAGGTGGCTCAGTTGGTTGAATGTCTGCCTTCTGTTCAGGTCGTGATCCCAGGGTCCTGGGATTGATTCCCACATCGGGTTCCCTGTTCATCGGGGAGCCTGCTTCTCCCTCTCCCTCTGCCTGCTGCTCACCTTGCTTGTGCTCTCTCTCTTTCTCTCCCTGACAAATAAATAAATAAAATCTGGAAGGAATAAAGGAAGGAAGGGAATAAGGAAAAAGGAAAGAGAAAGAAAGAAAGAAATCCCACAACTGGAGTGCCTGGCTGGCTCAGTTGGTAAAACATGTGACTCTTGATCTTGGGGTTGTGAGTTCCAGCCCCACATTGGGGGGTATAAAGATTACTTAAAAATTAAAAAAATTATTTTTTAAAAAATTCCAAAACTTTCTCAAGTTTGGCAATTCACCAAAAGCATTCATAAGACTCAATTGCAGGTTAGACTCAAGGCTGAGGTTTATTACAGCAAACGATGCAGAACAAAGTCGGCAGGAAGATGATGTATTGGCAGAGTCCAGAGTCCAATGCCAAACCCAGGCTTTTGCATATTTCCCATCCAAGCCCACACAGACATGCTTTCTTTCTACCATCAAATTAAAGAGACAAATGTGATATGTTCTGCCCAAGAAATCTTGTTTGAGTTTTGAGATCTGAGTCATTTGTGGGAGGGCTAGTCATATGAGAGGTCTATCCTGCTACACAGCCAGCCTGGCAACCCACATTCAGGACCCCACCAGTGAAATCAGATGCGTGCAAATCATCAGTCTTGATGTCGTTGAAAGTAATCTGACAAGCTGGGACAGCAGCGTCCATTGCTTCGGGTGTACACAGCAAAATCATCAATCACCGACACACACACATACACAAAAATATTCTGAGGGCCATATTCCCAGAGGTTGACCAAGGGTCAATCATGGTTCTGGGTTCCCATGAAGACAGAAGACAATGAGCAACAGACCTGCTATTTTAACTCTTTCCTCACAAAATCACTAATTTTCCTAAGCACCTTCTTGGAAAAAAGTCTGACTTTGCCCCAGTGATTTGAGATGCCACTTTTATCATATACTGAGGTACTATATGGACTTGCATTGATTTCTGGATTTTCTATTCTATCTCTGGTTTATTTATTCATGTAATAGTAATGCAATGTTTTCATTAGAAAGGGTTTATATTGTGCTTAATACTGTAGAGCTTGTCTATCCTTGGAGCTTTTCTAGTCTTTTCCTGACTATTCCTGCATGTTTATTTTTCCCTATGAAGTTTAGCATCAACATGTCAATCTCCATGAAAGCTTGTTTCTACCCAACTTTTCTTCCTTTGATAAAGTCTGTTTTCCAACCTTTAACAAATATCATTTTTTTCTACAAAAATAAACCACGTTACAGAAAGATGATAGAAACTATGTTAATCCCAATACTCTAACATAACATGGATATCACTGTGTTTCTGTTTCTTTTTATACAATTGTAATTATATATATAAATATATATTTTACCATGTTATTACAGTCCTCATAACCATCATTTTAATGACTGTATAGTATTCTAATGGAGACTGTCATAAATAGTACTTTTATGTTTATTATCTCCTTAGGTAGTGACTCCCAGAGTAGGATTGCTAAAAGGTAAAAGGTGTATACATTTTTCAATATCTTGATAAGTTAGTAAATTGCTTTGTTTAAAGTTGCACTAATTAAACTATCACCAGCAATAAGAGGGCCTATTTTCACAGCATCCTTATATTTCATTGTTTACCATGACTTAAAATAAAATAAGAACCACAAGTGTGACCAAAATGTAAATGTTTATACCTTCTGACTCACTAATTCCACTGTTAGAATTATGGAAATAACCATGGGGCACCTGGGTGGCTCTGTGTGTTAAAGCCTCTGCCTTCGGCTCAGGTCATGATCTCAGGGTTCTGGGATCGAGCCCCACATCGGGCTCTCTGCTCAGCAGGGAGTCTGCTTCTCCCTCTCTCTCTGCCTGCCTTTCTGCCTACTTGTGATCTCTATCAAATAAATAAAATCTTTAAAAAAAAAGAATTATGGAAATAACCATCTGGTGTGCATGTGCAAGGATGTCCACTATAGAATATGGCAGTGTGGTATCAGGCATTTTTATTTTTTAAGATTTATTTATTTATTTGAGAGAAGGAAAAAGAGGGAAAGAGGGTGTATGGGGAGGGAAGGGCAGAGGGAGAGAGAGAGAATCTCAAGCAGACTCCATGCTGAGTGTGGAGCCTGATGGAGGGCTCCATCCCAAGACTCTGAGATCATGACTTGAGCCAAACTCAAGAGTTGGATGCTCAACTGACTGAGCCACCCAGGTACCCCTCTACATTTTCTTTTGATGATTCTCCAGCATCTTAAACACAATATGTCCATAAGTGAACACTACACTGGCTCCTTCCCTGTCTCAGGAATTAGCAATACCATCATCCTGGTTTCTTAGGCCAGAAACCCAGGCCTCATTAGCTCATGGTCAGTCTGCTCCAACTCCTAGTTTGAAACAGCCCTTGATTCTGACAACCTGTCTCCCTCTTCATTGCTATTATCCTAGACCAAACTATGAGCATCAATCATCTGGATTATTGCAGTGGGCTCCTAAAGGGTCTCCTTACTTCTTTTCTTATGCTATGTATTTATTTCCTGAAACCGTTATAACAAATTATCACACAATTGGTGGCTTTAAACAACAGAAATGTATTTTCTCACAGTTCTAGAGGCTAGAAACCTGAAGTCAAGTTGTCAGAAGGGCAGTGTTCACTCTCAAGGCTCTAGGGAGTGAATGTGATCCTTGTATCTTCTACCTTCTAGTGATTGTTGACATTCTTTGGTGTTCCTTGACTTGTGACCACACCATTCCAATGTCTACCTTCACACCACCTTCTTTGTGTTTGTGTCTGTATCTTTTTCTTTTATCTTTATTTTATATGTTGTGTATCTTATTCTTTTCTTATACATACATATATATATATGTACACACACATATATGTATTATATACATAATACATATTATATGTATTTTAAGATTTTATTTATTTTAGAGAGAGAGAGAGAGAGAGAGAGAGAAACAGCACGAGTGGGAGGCACAGAGGCAGAGGAAGAGAAAATCTCAAGCAAACTCCATACTGAGTGTGGAGCCTGATATGGAGCTCCATCCCAAGACCCTGAGAGCATGACCTGAGCTGAAACAAAGAGTCAGACACTTAACTGACTACACCAACCAGGCGCCCTAACCTCTGCCTTTTTCTTATGAGAACACTTGTCAATGGATTTAGGGCCTACCTCAACAATACAGGATTCTCTCCTCATCTCAAGATCCTTATTTTAAGGGTGTCTGAGTAGCTCAGTCAGTTAAGCATCTGCCTTTGGCTCAGGTCATGATCCCAGAGTCCTGGGATCAAGTTCCATGTTGGGCTCCCTGCTGAGTGGGGAGTCTGCTTCTCTGCCCCTCCCCTGGCTCATGCTCTCTCTCTTTCTCTCTCACTCTCTCTCTCATATTAACTAAGTAATTAACTTAAAAAATCCTTATTTTAATTGCATCTTCAAAGGTCCTTTTTCTGAATAGGTGCATTCACAGAATGCAAATTTGATGTGGATATCCTTTGGGGCGAGCCTTTTTCAGCGTACCACCTCCCCTTTTTTCACCTAGTAGCTGCAATGACCTTTTGAAATATAAATTTATTTAAAATCTTACATGCATGGGGCACCTGGCTGGCTCAGTCTGTCGAACATACAACACTTGATCTTGGGGTCCTGAGTTGAAGCCCCACATTGCAGGTAGAGATTACATTAAAAAATTAAAAAATAAAATCTTTAAAATTTTACACGCCTCAGTGTCTTCCTACTTCAATTATCATAATATGTAAATTCTTTCCCTTGGTTCACATCTCCTGCCTGAACTGAAGCCTATCTCTTCAACCTCAGCTCCCATTCATCAGTGGCACACTTTGCCTAAGCAGCTGTTCCCATCCACTAACTCCCGCTATACCTTTTCTTTTTGCAGGTTTGACTACCAACTGGTATGGTAGTTCATCTCTAATGCTAGGATATTAGTTGTTCTATGGCTGGGGTCAGCACACTATAGTCAGTGGGCCAAACTTGGCCCACTGCCTTTTTTATAAATAAACTTTTATTGGCACAAGGTCAGTTATTTGTCTGTATATTACCTCTGGCTGTTTCTGTGCTAGAGCAGCAGAGTTGAGTGGCTACAACAGAGGCTAAATGGCCCACAAAGCCAAATATATTTACTATATGCAACTTTCCAGAAAAAAAATTTGCCAGCCTCTATTGTAGGCTATCGGTTTCCTGTTTAGTGCTCTCAGATCCACTATTTGGTTTCCTCTTTTCTCTAGATAGTTAACTTCTTCCAGGTGCTATTGCTATCTCCTCTAGTAAATTCTCTAAATTTATATGATCTGTAGTTGTAATAGACTGCATTGTCTGGTCTATTAAGTAATAGGACATGGTGTGACTTATGGAATAGGCAGCAGACATCAGGCAACAATTTGTCTTCATTCAGGCCAAATGAGCCTCTCCTAATGAAGAAAAGGAATAACCTCCTCCATTTTGAGGGAATTTAAATGACTATCACATTTTTATTTTATGAATATTTATTTCTCCATTCCTCCAGATCCTGTGTCTGGGCCAGTGACAAGCCTTGTCATATGAACATGAATTTTCTTGTTCATGACACTCAGCAGGTGCCTATGCCCAGTGATAATTGCAGACTGGCTAACTTAAATCAGCCTCTCTCCCTCCCTCTCTCTCTTTCTCTTCTTTGGCTTCCCCTCTCTCCCTGTCTGAATATGCTGTTCTTCATGGAACAAGATGAGTATGATCCATTTTGACAACACTGGCCCCCTGACCTGTCTCTCCTGTGGGAGACTGTGCTTCCTGGGGTGTGTGGTTGGCTGATGCTTTATCCCCTCCTGTGTGAATAACCTGTAGGTCATGACCACTATACTCCAAATTGCAAAGCCCTTCTGCCGCCTGTGAGCATTTGCAGGACTTGACTTGAAAAGCTCATAGCCTCCTTTCAGACATGGCTTTGGCCTTTTCTGATTCCTGCCAGGTAGAGGGTTTGCCTCAGAATTCCAGTATTTCCAGTGGAAAAGCATATTATTTCTCACAGGGAAAAAGTGAAACAAAAACAGCAAATTCTCAGACCTGAGAAATTGTTGCCTGAAGGACTTAGACAGGATATGCAAATGTATTCACTTTTCAGCTATTGGCTAAATGGTTCTCTACCTCTGTGGACCCACACTGATCTTAGGGAGATTGTTGCTCTATTTCAATATCTTCCAGTGGTTTGCCACAGGCTGGTTCCTTTTCTTTCCTCTGTGGGAACTCCTGATAGTAGTCTCAACCAAGAAGACCTGGGTTGCCTCATTGTGCAGAATATCTGGTCTGAATTAAGTGAAACCAGCACTTAGGGCCTACTGATATATCCATACCCTCATCCCAAGTGACAAAATTTGCCTTATATACTTTAAAAGATTTCAGAGTGCCTGGGTGGCTCAAGTCAATTAAACATCTGACTCTCGATTTTGGCTCAGGTCATGATATCAGGGTCATGAGATCAAGCCCTGTGGAGCCTACTTAAGATCATTTTTCTCCCTCTCTGTCTATTCCTCCCCTACTCTCTCTTTAAAAAAAAAAAAAAAAAATTTCAGGGCCCCTGGGTGGCTCAAATGGTTAAGCTTCTGCCTTCAGCTTGGGTCATGATCTCTGGATCCCGGGATCAAGCCCCACCTGGGGCTCCCTGCTTGGCAGGGAATCTGCTTCTCTCTCTCCTTCTGCCTCTCCCCCGTTCATTTTCGCTCTCTATTTCTATCTCTTTGTCTCAAATGAATAAATAACATCTTAAAAAACAATTTGGATCTCAGAACTATCAATCGGGACATTGCATTAGCGCAATAACACATATAAAACTCTTTAATTACTATTTCTTTTTAATTTTTTAAGGACAGGAAGGGGCTATCTAACATTCATTACACATAATGGTGATGTGCACCAGACATGTATCTGTGGGTTCATGAAAGCATATCAGAAAAGCTGTGCTTAATCTTATTTAGTCTCTCTTTCTTGGGTCCAGTGTCATTTTACATGAAGACTTATTATTATTATTATTCAGGAATTATTTCTATTATACAATTTTATGACCTCTTTTTTTTTAACTTCCAGGTCTTTGAACATAATTTTGAAAAGAAAAAATAATGGAATCATTTTCCATAACCATAATATACTATTTTCATGTCTGCTAATGTACTCTCACTTTTTTAAGCTATTACATTTAAGTCTGCGATCTATTTAAGCTAATTTTTGTAGATGGTAAGAGGTAGAGGCCCAACTTCATTCTTTTGCATGTGGATATCCAGTTATCCCGGCACCATTTGTTGAAATTCTTGCCCCTTTAGATGTTTTGGGAAATTTGTGAAGAACCAATTGGCTACAAATGTGAGGGTTTATTTCTGCACTCTCAATTCTATTCTGTTTGATCTGTATGTCTGTCCTTATGCTAGCACCACAGTGTTTTGATTACTGTAGCTTTGTAGTAAGTTCCCAAGTCAGGATATGTGTGTCCTCCAGCTTCATTCTTCTCTTTCAAGATGGTTTTGGCTATTCTTGGTCAATTTTTTGTAGCAACAACAAGAAAAAAATGGATGTATTGATCCATTGCCTTTAATCAGATTTCGTATCGTTCCTACAAACCTCTATAATGGAATTCTAAGGAGGGTGTTTTGGGATGAGGTGTTTGGGAAAACATGTTTTAATTTGGGAAAGGGACCATGATGCTTTAAACCTTTGGAATCTGACTTGTTTCAGAGGACTCTAAAGTTTTCTTTCACAAATACAATTTGTTGTATAACATCAGAACACAAGATTTGTAGGACTTGAGCAGTAGTACAGAATTTTAGATCATTAACCATGTGGTCCTTGAAATCAAGACAAAGCTGTGTTTCAGGAACCCTCATTATGTTAGCAAATCAGCACAAGAAATAGGTGTAAATATCTTCAAGTCTTGACCTTGATTGGAGTCTGTATTTTGCTCAGTATCAGTAATTATATATATAACATGCATTTGATGATTTGAAACTGTTTTAATAATATTTTTTGAAGTGAACATTGATACCATAAAGTCCTTTGTTGGTTTTTTTTTTTTGTTGTTGTTGTTGTTAGTTTTTTTTTTTTTTTTAATTTAAGTAATCTATTTAGTTGGGTAAATGTACTTGGGTACATGGGGCTCAAACTCACAAGTCACATGCTCTTCTGACTGAGCCAGCCAGGTGCCACAGCCCTTTGGTTTTTAATCTGCTTTTAAAAATTAAGGTCTTGGGGCGCCTGCATGGCTTAGTGGGTTAAGCCTCTGCCTTCGGCTCAGGTCATGATCTCAGGGTCCTGGGATCGAGCCCCTCACTGGGCTCTCTGCTCATCAGGGAGACTGCTTCCCTCTCTCTCTCTCTCTGCCTGCTTGTGATTTCTGTCAAGTAAATAAATAAAATCTTTTTAAAAAATTAAGGTCTTCAGTGAATTGTTTACTTACATCAAAGAGTACCAGGAAATCACTCCAAGTCCCAAGGAGCATTTATGATTTCTTGATTCCCCAGCCTGTCCCACAATATGGTCATGGATCTGCTTTAAAAATTTCTTACCCAGGGGCGCCTGGGTGGCTCAGTGGGTTAAGGCCTCTGCCTTCAGCTCAGGTCATGATCCCAGGGTCCTGGGATCGAGCCCCACATCGGGCTCTCTGCTCGGCAGGGAGCATGCTTCCTCCTCTCTCTGACTGCCTCTCTACCTACTTGTAATCTCTATTTGTCAAATAAATAAATAAAATCTTTAAAAAAAATTTAAAAAATAAAAATAAAAATTTCATACGCAGAAACTCACTATCCTTCACAATCAACCAACCTCTGCCATCTCCCAGTGAATTAATGTGTGAAACTTTCGTAAGTTTTTAGATATGATTTTTTTTTTTCTAAGTAGGCTGTACACTCAAGGTGGGGCTCAAATTCACAACTCCCAGAACAAGAGTCACATGCTCCACCAGCTGAACCAACCAGGCACCCCTAGATACGATTTTTTGTTTGAAATGTCAAAGCAACGCCTCCTCCCTTCAAAAGACCAACTCTATAGCATCTCTCTTGGTTTAATAATCATACAAGGAGTACAAATACTGTTTGTGTTAGATCCACTTTTGCTGTTTTACATTTACACCATTTTAACTAGTTAGCATCCAGAGTAAGAGTGAAGTTCTAGCTCAGTCTAGAATATGATTCAATTCTGATGCTTTGTCAAAATGTAAAGTCCCTGATAAGTGCTAAAATATAAGTCTGATGTGGAAACACACTTGGATCACAACGGAGATGCAAGAAATTCTCATTTTATGAAATAGATATATCCTGGAAGTCCTTGCATATTTATAAATATCACATAATTAAGCCATTTACCATATGGATTAGTTGGTCTACCATAGAAACATAACCAGTAGGATATATATATATATTTACTAAGATACTTATTACAAGGAACTGCTTTACACAATTATGGGGGCTTGCTAGGTAGGTCTGAAATCTTGTAGGGCAGGCCAACATGCTGGAAACTCTTGGGAAGGATTAATGCTGCAGGCCTCAGGAAAAATTTCTCTTCCAGGGGAATCTCAGTTTTACCTCTCAGGCCATTCAACTGTTTGAATAAAATCTGTTCAGATTATACAGGATATCTCTTATTTAAAATCAACTGATGCAGTGTTAATTATATCTACAAATACCTTCACAGAATACCTAGGTAAGTGTTTGAATCACTGGGCAGTATAGCCTAGCCAAGATGACACATAAAACTACCTTTCATACCATAGGACTAACAAAGCCTGCAGATATGTCTGCTTACCAGCTAAACTCAAAGGACCCAGTAGCAGTAATACAAATTTCGTAATTCCTCAGCTTGCCAGCTTTGAAAATGTGCAATTCTTGATTGTATTTTTTTTAAATTTGGGGATTATTAATGTTTTACATTTTCATATTATACATAAAGTAAAATGTTAATATTATTAATAATATTTCATCTACTACTACTTCAAAATTTTATAATTAAAGCTCATGGCACAAGTAATTCTTTTTCATCAGGTAGCTCTTAACAATGCTGAAAGGTTAGAAGCTATATTCCTTCATCCAATATAATCATGTGGAAGCGCTTATAGTTTTAGAGCCCAGTAAGGAGAGTATCTCAGGTATTGTGTATGCTTGTCTCTTTCAATCTCTCTCTCTTCAGTGTCCTCTTTCAATATCCTGGTCTAAGTTCCCATTCCCCTCCCTTGAGGCTTTATACTCCTCCGTGTAGAAGGAGACATTTCCTTTCTTCCACTTTTTGGATCTTGCAAATTTCAGTATCTTAGGCTTGACCAGAGTTTGGGGACTGCAGAGAGAAAGGTAGAGGCTAGTGCAGGAGCAATGGGGGCACATTAAATCTGATTGTTTTTCCCAAACCAGCATAGTGACTTGATTTTCTCACCATTCCCTAAGAAAAATGTACACCACTCCCACATGAGCATTAATTTTACTCAGTGACAACCCAATTCTCTCAGATATTTTTCCCCCAGCATTTTTTCTTAAGGAGCTTTTGATTCCTTTCTGAATCCAGCTTGCAAGCATCATGACATTAACTGGCACTATGTTAGTCAGCAACTCCAAATATCTTTCCTAAAAAAAATTGGGGGTGGGGGTGGGAATGCCTGAATAGGTCTCAGTTCCTGCTATAATAGACCTTCCATAAATGTTTGTTGAATTAAATATAATGGACTTCCCTCTATGTGTTGGGAACTCACGGATGGTCTTCCAACGGCGATTAAATTTCCATCCTGTGGCAATACAAGATTTAATTGCTCTAAATAAGTAAGCTTACATATTTCAAAAATAGAGACGTCATACTTCGTAATGGAAATAATCTTGGATGAAAGAAACGCACAATGGCTCTTCAAATTCAAGTCGTTATTGTTCATAATACATTACTTTAAAGCCCATTTAAGTGCTCAGCGCATCAACTGATGCAGACAGAATACTGCTGTCTGGAACGGTACCAATTTTGTCATTTTTAAAAGGGAGTGAAGAGACGGGCGGGTTGGCTCAGTCGGTAGAACCTGCGGCTCTTGATCTCAGGTTGGGAAGATCGAGCCCCACGCTGGGTACACAGATTACTTTAAAAAATTAAATCTTAAAAAATAAATAAATAAAACAAAAGGGAGTAAAGACAGCGTCAGCCTTCCAAAGAAAAAATTCTGAATACGACCCGCAGGCCCCACCCTATATGCACAGGGGCTCAGTGCATGCCCGTCCAGGTTTAGGTGAGGGGCAGCGAACCACATTTCCCAGCGGGCCCTGCAGGTCTCCCGCGCCTGCGCACTGGCCGCCTAGGCAGGTAGGCAGAACTCCCGCGCTATCCAGCCGCCGGGTCTCGTCTCCCCCGGTCTCTGCCCCCGGCATGGAGAGGGTCTCGGTGGCCGCAGGGAGCGCGGGCGCCGACAAGGCCGAGGGAGCCGCAGCCATGCCGCCGCCGCCTGCTGTCTCCCCGCCTGCTCTCACCCCGGCACCCGCAGCGGGTGAGGAGGGCCCGCCGCCTTTGCCCGAGGCGGGGGCTCCAGGCTGTTCGGGCTCCCGGCCCCCAGAGTTGGAGCCTGAGCGCAGCCTGGGCCGCATGAGGGGCCGCTTCGAGGACGAGGACGACGAGTTGGAAGAGGATGAGGAGCTGGAGGAAGAGGAGGAGGAGGAGGAGGAAGAGATGAGCCACTTCTCGCTGAGGCTGGAGGGGGGTCGGCCGGACTCAGAGGACGAGGAGGAGGTATTTATAGCCGGTGCCCGACCACGCGGGGCCGGAGGGGCCTGAGGGTCCAAGCCAGCCCTCCCCAGTAAGGGCTGGGCCGCGTCCCCAGCTCGCCGCTGCAGCCTTTGGCACTCGCGTCGACCTCCACCCCTCCCTCTCAACCTGCCTAGGCATGTGGCGCGGACTGGTCCGCACCCGATTCCTTGCCGACTCTTTTTGTGAGCTTCCTGCCAATCACTTAGGCTCTCCAGGTCCGACTCTATTATTCTGTAAATAATTATTAAATTATGCCAGGCGGGTAGGGGCCAAGGGTACAGTGCTCCTGCCTTCCAAGAGCTTACGGTCGGACAGGGAAACAGTCCTTTCTACAGGGTGTTCAGAGGATGGTAAACCCCTATGTCATAAGTATAATTGGGAAGGGGTTTTGTTCGTTTTTTTAATGTCGTAGCGCATACTTTATAAAGTTGGTAACATCTAGCCAGTCGGAATTGATATATTAAACGTAAACACCAGTATCTGGAAAGTTTGCCCATTTTGTAATTAATTCATAAAGTAAGATACCCCTCATCTGGTAATATAAAGTATATCCAAAAGAATGAGATCTTTTTGAAACATTGGTTTATATTGTGTTATTGTAACTTCGATTAGGATTTTGAAGGGTTGGAGGTACTGTAACATGTTACCGTGTTGCAAATTAAGTTA